ATTATTATAACTACTTACTTTATTTTACTTACTTTATAGTCTTAGCTTAGGCTACTATTAATAGTCCGCTAGTTTATTATTTTTATCTACTATTCTAAATAAGGCGTTAAACTTATTAAGGGCTATAGTTCTTATAAACTTATATATAAGTTCTTATATAAGGTCGAGATACCCGCGCTACTTAATAAAGACCTTTTAGCGTTTCCCCTTACTAACCTTTTTATAGCGCGTAGCCTATATCTCTTTAACCTTAAACTTATCCTTTCCTTTTACCTTAATTATAAGCGGTTAAGCGTCTACTACTTCTTATTTAAGTAGTAAGTTAAAAGAGGCTTTATAAAGAAGGTCTATATTAATCTTATTATAGACCCTTATTAAGAGACTATCGAGCTCTATAACTTATAGGCTAATAACCCTTTATACTATAAACTTTATATATAGCTAGTTAAGCTTCTTTTTTAGCTATACCGACCTATAGTTATTAAGGTCTAGCTATACCTTATCTCTTACTATAAACCTATCTACTAAAGCCCTAGTCTTATTAGTATACTGCTCTTAATCTTACGCTATAGTAGCTATCGCGGATTAGTAATAATTTATAGGATCTAGCCTTTTATACGTGACTATATAGCTTAGGCTATAACCTAAGCCTATAACCTATAATAGTTAAAGACTCTTATATCTATTACCTCTTTTATTCTTAAGTAACTAAACCTTTTATTAAAAAGTAATATATTATAGAGTAAGTAAAGGTATATAGATAGGTGCCGTTTATAGGATAATATTAATAAGCTATACTAAGCTTTTCTATATATAGCTAGCCTATATATATATATATAGGATCCGGCCCTTTATATATAACTATATAGCTTAGGCCGCGGCCTAAGCCTATAACCTATAATAGTTAAAAACTCTTATAATAATCTTATATATTATATCTTAAGGTAGTATAATAGCTTTAAAGTTAATTAATTTAACTTACTATATAATTATACTAGTAGTTATAATATTACTTAAAGTAATATAGTATTATATTAAATAAGAGCTTTTAATATATAATAATTTATATTATTTTTAAGGAATAAACCTATTAATAGGTTTATATTAATAAATATAATAAAGTATAGTCTAAGTAATAATAATTATATTATATTAGTAATAAGTTAAAGGTTATAGGCTATAAGCTATAACTAGGTAATTAATAGAGTACTACTATTTATATAATAATATATTACTATTTATATCCTTAACTTATTTTTAAGATATTTATTAAAGCTAGCCCGCCTTACTTATTTATACCGCGCGCGCTTAGTAAATACCTATACTACCTAAATGCCTATACCTATACCTACGCCCGCCTATATATATATATAACCTATATATATATAAAAGGTAATAAAGGCTATATAATATATACCTCTTAATTCGCTTAAATAATTAAAGAAAGGTATAAGTAATAAGCGTAGAATCGGGTAATTAATAACGTAAGCGGAAGGATTAGTCGAAGGAGTATAAGGTAGGATTTCGTCCGGAATTTATAACGAGTATATAAGGGGCTAAATAGTATATTAAAAGAATAGCGTTGCAAAGGATGCTTATAAACTTACTTATTCTATCTACTACTCTTAGGGAAATCCTTTGTCTTTTATAGACTATTGCTCGCTTACTAGTAGACTAATTAGTTAGCTTTCTAGTATATTCTATAGTACTTAAAAAGCTCTATCTATAGTATATCTTCCTAACTTAGTAGGTAGTCTAATTATAACGTAATAGTTAACGTAGGACTATAGGTTCTAGTATAAGTAGTAGATTTAACTAGAATGTTCTATGCCCTACCTATTCTTATATCGCGGATATCTTCGAAACCGCTAGGCTAAAATAGGTAATATAGTATCTATTCTACTCGTAATTAACTTATGCATTTTTCGTATATTTTATTTTATTAGGATAGGCTTATCTTAACCCGCTTTTCCTAAAGGAAGGTATAGATATCTAGTAGAGGTCTTTGTCTTTAAGGGTTATTCCCTTAGACTATATTATAGAACCTCTTTTTACTAGCTTATTCTATAGAGCCTCCCTATACCTATTATTTCTTTATAATAGTAAAATAAGAATATAAGGGTATATTCTTATAATAATATATTTCTAGGCCTTAAGCTTAAAGTTATAATAATTAGCACGTTAATTAATCTAGCTCCTCCTTACCCCTTATAGCTTTATAGGCGGCGGCGGTATCGCCGCCTTTATTATATCCTATTTAATAATTTCTTTAATACCTAATAAAGCTAGCTACCTTAATAAAGCTAGCGGCGCGCCCCTCTTACTACGTCCTCCTCTTAATCCCCTTCCCCTTATATTTCCTCGAGCTAATAATCCTTATTATTACGCTACGAGAGACCGCGTGCTATAGCTAAGTTTATTAATCTCGTCGCGCCCTTAGCACCTTCGAACGCTTACGTTAAGCCGCCTTAAGCTAGCCTAACTTAAATTAGGTAGCTAGGATGCCTTTATAGCTAGCTATAACTATAATGCTATCTATAATATTATTTATAATACCGGCTATAATGCCCTTACTATAAGGGAGCTTAGTATAAGTAGCTTATTATTATAGGGCCGGCCGCGTATAATAGTAATAACGTCGGGGTCGCGGATTCGTAGTAATAGCTCCTTAAGGTCTTAATAGTAGTAATTAGTATTAAATTTACCTAAAAAGGGGGTCTTTATTAATAGCTTCTTAAGCTACTATTATAAGAGAATATTATACTTTTTAAGCGTTAACCTAGCTTAAAAGTATTAAAGGATTATATATATATAAAGTAGCCTAAGTTAGTATATAAATCGCTCGCTATAAAGCTATAATAGCTATAGCTCCTATATTAGTAAAGGTATTATAGTAAGGGTAAGCCTATATTATATAGTAAGTAAGTTAACTACTTTATAGGTAATCTCTATATTAAGATCCTTAAGCTAAATCTACTTAAGGATCTAACGATTTTATTATATCTCTTACTAAGTAGCTATTTATATATATATTATCTTTTTATTCTTAATTATCTATATAAAGGTATTATAAAGATATAAGAGGTTAAAGGTACCTATAAATAAATAAGACTTTATATTCTTATAAGCGGTCTTAACTAAGCTATCTATATACTACTTAAAGTTATAATATTAGCTAATAAAGTAGCTTACTTACTATTTATACTATAATATATATTTATTTAAGATATATACTATAATTATTAAGGGGCCGGCGTATACTTAGCGTAGTAGTATAGGGCCGAATAATTATTTATCTAAAGCTAAGGAGAAAGGAGGAAAACTCTATCTTAGTCGCGACGGCTATCTATCTTCCTTAGTCCCTAGCTCGACCCGTGTTCGGCTACTATTTAGCCTAAGTTTAGGTCGAGCTCTGTCCGTGCGTGGGTCTACTTTAGCCCGACTTTAGTGCGGTCGCTATAATATAACCTTAGCCCTTTACGGGCGTAGCCTATAATAATAATATACCCTTAGTATTAACTAAAAGTCTTATTAAGCTACCGCTATATTATATAGAAATCCGCTTTAGTTTTTAAGTAAATAATATACTTCTAAGCTAGGAATATTCTTTTACTACTAAATTTAACTTCCTTATTACCTAGACTAAATATAGTAGCGGTAGCGGCGTTAGCGGCTCTTTATTTAATAGCCTCTTTAGCGAAGATAGCTTTTACTTCTTAAGGGATCTCTATATTAATAGAGTTTTTAGGGCTATTAAGATCTACTAGGTCTTTCTAGCTAGACTAAATTTAAGCCTAAATAATACTATTAATATAGAATATATAAAGTTATTATTACGTTAAGGGGAAAATATAAAAAAGGGCGTTTTTAAGGGTAGCTTCTTTATTTATAATAACTATAAAGGGCTCTTATACCTTAACCTATATATAAAGAGTATTAAGGGACTTATATAGCTACTAGTATCCCTCTTTTTTCTTTAAGTTAAGAAGGCTAAAAGTAAAGTTAGCTAAGGACTTTTAGTTAATAACTCTAATAACCTAGAAAAAGAAAAGACTAAAGTAGTTAGTTTTATATATATTATTAAGGCTAAGAACCCTAGGGAAACGTTTCTATATCTTTTAATACTATAGATAGGTCTATAGTATACCTTAAATCTTATTTTTATTATATAGGTTAAATTTAATATAATAAGGAAGGTCGCTTACTTAAAGATACTATAAAAACGCTTATATTACTATTATACTACTAAGAGCTTAAAAATAGATCTTTTAGTAGTCGTTATAAATATCTTTAATATAAAAGAATACTATTAAAGGTTTAGCTTTATATAAGATATTTAATATCTCTTAAGCTAGTAGTACTTTATATTAAGAGAGGTTCCGCTTAAGAGCTTACTATATATTAGTCTACTAGCGATAAATATTATATATAGAGGGATTAAGGGAAAGCCTATAGTTATAGCGATCCTTAGTAATATAGAAATCCTACTTTTAAGCTTCCTTATTATATAACGCTATTATAATAAGGTAGAAGGGGTTATTAAGCTTTTAAGTAAAAGATTTATATAGCTTAGTACTTAAAGAAGCTCGCTATAGGCTATAATTATATATAAAGAGAAGTTATATTATAATAGAGACCCTATTAATATCTCGCTTATATATACTTAACCGCTTAATAACCGCGGCGCTATTCTTATAAAGAAAGCCTTAAATAAATTTATATACTTTATTATAGGTTTTAAAGCCTAAGGAAGGTAGTAGGGGCGGTATTATATCTTTATATTCTTAGGAAGTATCGCGGGCATTATAGGTATTATCTAATATATTAAGGAGGGAGAGAAGGGGGTCTATTATAGCGCTAGTAATAGCTTTAAACTTAGTATATATATATAAGTTATATATATAGGTTATATATATAGGTTATATATATATATAAGCGGGCGTAGGCGCGGGTATAGGTATTTAGGTAGTATAGGTACTTACTAAGCGCGCGCGGGGCCTTCAGCTCCGTGGGGAGCCTCCCAAAAGCATATCTTTGCAGACGCTCAGCCTCTCTCTTGCCTCTCGGAGGAGCTCCGTGTCCGCCTCTTCCAGGATCCCCTCCATCACGTCCAGAAGCTCGGGTAGGCCCTCGTGAAGCGCCGCCGCAGTTGCCTCGTCCAGACCTAATAGGCCGGCAACAGTAGAGAGGTATTCCGCCATGCGGGCATACGTGCTGTGGGCCAGTTGCGACGGACGCAGTGGGAATCCCTTGCCCGGAGGGCGTCCAACGGCCTGGACAAACGCCCAGATGGTAAGGACCGCATAGTACATGATCCAGGGCCTGTGGGGATCCGTTTCATTGCGAAGCGCGTACTGTATCGCGACAGGCTGGGCAGTGTGGGGGCTCGTGCGCCGTCTTGGATGGGGTTCCACGAGCACACGGTGAAGCAACTTGAACGCGTGAAGCACGGCATGGCGCGTCGATGCCCGCTTGGCCCAAGTACTCATGCGCTTCACCGCATTTGTGTGGTCTCTCGACGACACCTTGCGACCGAGAAGGCGATTGGCGCCGGCATAGACCTGGCAGTCCACGATGTCAGTGTGAAGGCCGATGTGAACAAGGTGGAACAGGAGCGAGGCACTACCGATGGGCCCGTTGGACACGGGCCCATGGCTAGGCGGCTCAGCTACAGAATCGGTCATGGCAACATCGAAGCTCTGCTTCCAGTTGCCAAGGGCCCTAAGCAGCATCTTCCTCCAGCTGTCCTGTGTTTCCGACGACGGCGTCCGCAAGTCCAGCCATTTGAGATGGGTCTCCTTGTGGCTCAAATGCCACCCCACGCTCAGCAGTCCGGAGATGATAATCATGCGCCCAAAGGCATGGGTCTTGACCTCTTTGCCGTGCAGTGCGCTTTTCAGCCCGTCCAAAAAGGAAACTTGCTCAAAGCCGTACATGCGGAAGTTGGCATCGAGTTGCCGGACAACGTCAGGGCTGCTGGCATTCCACAAGCTGTCGTCGCAGGGTAGGGGTAGTCGAATCTCGTGCGCTGCCATGTCTGCTGTGTGACCAAACATGGCGGCGTGTATGATATCGAGCATAAAGGCCCCAAAGACGACTCGATGCATCGACTCCCGTTCAGCCCATCGAACCCACCAACTTCGAGGATCCAACGGCATGCCGGACTCGGTCCGCTCGGCGCCAGGGTTTTCGTGATCAATCGGAGACTCGCTGCCGGTTCTTCCTATCAGGGGACTCCCTCGTCGGAGCAGAGTCAAGAAGGCAGGGTGGTATATGTGGGCCCTCTCGTGAAACCTCCTCGAGGAGCACAACTTCTCGTAAAACTCAAGGAGCAAGAGCGCTTGGGCAACCCACAAGCCTATCGGTGGCGTCGCGTCGTCTGATGTTAGAATCTCCCATCTCACGCTGTCAATGATGACATCTGCAAAAGTGCCGTATTCTGATAACTGACCCGTCGTGTCCCTGCCGCGAAGAGATGCCGCACCCAGGGATATCATCACGAGAAGGAGGGGAACAGGGCAATCTTTTGCGGAGAAGGTGTGTCGATGGACAACAGGCAGTCTGGGGGATACATTGTCCCAGAACTCGCTTAGACAGTCATGGATCATGTCTAGATTGAGTGCCGGCATGTCGCCGCCGCATTCGTGAATCAAATTTGCCATGGAGGGCTCGTAATGCGGCTGCTTATTGCGAAATACCTGAAACCAGTGGAGCAGTTCCTGGCGCCGAGATTCCGTGATCCAGGCATCAGACAAGTCAGCCTGTCGCGTCCCTTGTTCCATGGGCGAATGGCTGTTGAGTGATTCGTAGTCGTACTGTATCTTGTTGTTGAGGGTCGACTCCAAGCCGCCTTCAAGGAATGGGATGTGAGCAACGCTCAAGTCGGTGTATGTTGATTGGGGATCAAACAACCAGGTCGCGAAGTTTTCTGGCGCAAGCTGGTTGTCCGGGGGGTAGACGACGTTGGCATAGGGGGCCGCGGCAGCAGTTTCCTGCATGGCTTGTGCATGGCCACTGTAGAAGCCTTGCCTATGTACACGCATCAGGCTCCCCGGCCCTCTTCGGTCGACTGAAGAAGTCCATGGTGCTCCCTGGGTCGTACCGGCGGGGGGTGGATGGTGTAACGGCGGTGGCGGCGGGTCCGAATCAGAGGTCAGGAGGATAGCTGCGTCATGCGGGCCCGCGGATGAGGCTGTCTGGGAGACGGAGCACGGCTGAGCGCAGGACTCACGGCGAGGCTCAGTCAATATCGTGGTCCCATCTCCACCAACATCAAAGCTCGGCATGCGATTGCGCGGGGTGTAGGAGGCCGTGTGGCGCTTCTTATGGCGGGCCAAGAGGTCGAGCCGGACAAACTTTTGATCGCAGTCGCCAATGTCGCATCGAAAAATCTCCTTGGGCGCGTCTGTCTACAGGTCAGTTGTTGGGGGCTCGCCGGCAGGGCAAAGCAAGACTTCTCACGGTTCAGCTGATGGCGCTGCAGGTGCTCGGCCCTCGAGTAAATCTTGTCGCAGCCAAGATGGTCGCAGGCGAAGCGACGCGGCGCCCCTTTTCGACTGGCTCGCTTATATCCTCCGCCCCTGGGCGAAGCAGTGTTCGTAGGCTGTTGCGACGCCATTCACGCATGTTGCTGCGGGTTATAGGATGGAGACGGCGTCGGTGGGGGCGCAGGGTTTTGTGCTCATAATGTTCAGACGGCAGCCAGCGAGCGAACAGCCGCGAGGCAGAGACAGCGTCGCGGGCCAATGGCTAGCGGGACAAGCAAGGAGCGACGACGGCGATAACTGAAGTTGTAGGCTCGATGCTGTTTCGCGGGGCTCGCGTCCTTCGGTGTCCAGGGTGACCCCCACGTGACGTCTGGCGAGACCTGAACAGGAAGGTATGGCGTGGGGGTGACAATGCCGTCTTCCACGAATCCTCGTCAGCCAAGCACAGGACTTGATTTGTAGCAGGATCGCGGCAGAGACGCGTGCCCACGGACATTGTTTCCAGCTCGAGTGGCAAATTGCCAGTCAATCAATCGAGCCCATCGTGCACGGCAACTTCATTCTGACCCGGCCGTTGTCTATCGAAACCGACCCATCTTGCGGGAGCGCGGCTATCTATCATCAGCCAACAACGGCTGCCAAGCCGCTCAACATCTGGAACCCGCATCCTCGCATCCTTATCGTCTCTTTCCTTCGATGCGCCAGTCATTCGTGGCCACGGCCGATTGCAACCCAGTCTGAAATCACATCTTCGATCCGTCCAGGCTACTGTGCCACCGTCCAATCCCAGGTTCAAGCCTTGATCGAATTCATCAGGCCCTTGTCCAGGATCGCATGTAACGTGTCCTCCTTTGGCTTGCCAGGCTTGGGCTCTCTGGCTCCTTGTCCATCACCCTCGGCGACCTTGTGCGCTGTGAGTCGTGGCGCATCTCCCGCTCATGGAGCTGCTTGAGGAGGCTCCGAAATCTCGTCCTTTTGTGCCTCGTCATCAACCAGCTCCACGGATTCGGCCGCGCTACTCAGGCCGTTCTCCTGGTTGCTGCTTTCCAGTCCACCAGAAAAAGACAGGAAGTACTGGGTGACCTCGGTCTTGTCGTTGAAGTTTGCCAAGTCCAGCGGAACATAGTTGCGCTCGTTGGCCAGGGCCGGTGAAGCACCATGCTCCAATAGCAGTTTTACCGCGTCGAGGTGCCCGCCAAGTGCCGCCCAATGAAGGCCCGTGTTTCCATGCTCGTTGGCCTCATCGATAAAGGCCTGCTTCTCTTCCTTTGGCCGTCCTTGGAAGGCGTCAAGGAGCCTGCGCACCGTTCCTAAGCGGTTCCGTCAGATCAGGCCACACACAGCAAGGGAGGGTGTGCGAAGTGGCATTGCTCTCCATGGGCAGAAGCAAGGAGGCAAACCGGCATACCTAAATGGCCGTTGCCGGCTGCCATGTGCAGGGTTGACGATTTGCCCTCATCCTTGGCTCCCAGCAGTATCTCGGCAGGAGACACCTTTTCCCGATCCGCGAGAGCGGCCAAGCTCTCGTCCAGGTGCACATTCTCTCCAGCACGGGCAAAGTAGACGAGATCGTCAATTTCGTCCTCCGTTAGGTGCGGCGCCATGGCGTTCAGTGAGGTCGCCCGCTCATTCAAGTGCACACACACAGCAGGACAAATTTCGTTCAAGTGAGGGGACCGTGTGGACTTTGCCCCTTGCTGACTTTTTCGCACAGTATATTCAGTATAGGGTAGCCAGGAAACACCTCAAGGATTCGATCCACCAGAGGCATGGACTATTACAACTTGATCCTTTTCTTCAGCGATGTGCGTCCATCTCTAGTATGCTTGTCTGAACTTTTCACTGGCCAGAGCGCCGTGTGGTGGGCCCCTCATTGTTCTCTCGATATTGGAGAAAACATCGGACCTATGTTGTCATCCAACCACCCGCCTAGGTTTCCGGCATTATCCAGCCACTGGATTTCCGCCTTGATGCCCATCATCAACATTCTTCGGAGCTCTCGTTGAAGCCGCTCCAACTCTGGGTCATCTGTGCACAGTGTCGAAAGATTTAATAGGGTGCGAGTGGCGAGTTTGCGATCTCTCGCCGTGAGTTGTGAAATGGGGTCTCGACAGCTTGTCGATGATATTGAGGCTCTAGAGGCGTGGGGCGCTAACGGCTGGTTGGCCCCGTTCGGTGAACCGTCGGAGGACGCTGGATTCTGAAGGGCACCGACGAATTCCTGAAGATGCCGTGCCTTTACTCCCAGCCAGCGCAGACCACGATTCTGGGCCGCCGACTCGTGCGCCGCGCCATCTGAGCCAAAGCGATAGCAACGGAAGATGTTCAACCCATCCGGGTCAAAATCAGTCAAGACCAAGATGGGCAACTCTGCATGTTGCCCGTGAATGAGTTGCAGAAAGGACCGAGTCGTCAGGTCCGGATAGCCCTTTGCCTTGGCGACCATCAGCTCAGTCGGCAGCCAACGGAGAGGGTCAAAAAGGTATTACCGTGATGAGCAGGCCAGGGCCAACCGCAGATGTCTCCCAGTACCGGGACGACGCCAATGTGCGAAATGTGGCCTTGAGCAATCAGTACGACTCGCGGCCAGGTCCTCGATGCAGCGGACATACATCCTTTTCAACGACAAGAATCCATTTGACGGCGGCACACTCGATACCGGCAATAGATCGCAATACAGGTATGGGGGTGCCCTTGGCCGATCAGCTATGCCGCACTTGGTCACGCGCCAAAGAGCATACCGTGTCTCCGAGTGACGCGGTGATGGCCGAGCCATCGTGGTTTCGAATGGTCAGCGGTCCAGAGACGAGGCCTTTAGGTGATGCGACCTGGCCAGATTAGAGTCAACATCACCCGAGAGCGGCGGGCCTAGTCTTACTATGTTTAGGTCATGACGATGGACTCCCAGAGTCAAAGCAAGGTCATCAACAAGCTCGTCGACGACTCTTTGTTTGTCGAACAACTCCTGATGCTGGTAGAATATTTGGCTGCAAGACCACACGGCGTCAGTAGGTGCTTTGGGCCTTGGGCGAGCGGGCTTGCACGCACCGTTTGGTGAGAATGCTTCCCGAGACAAGGGCGTCGTGGGACAACTGGATGACGAGGAGCACGCGAGCTGGAGAGCGTGAGACACTGCACAGCAGGACTTGACGCCGGTGATTGTCTACCAAACTTTTGGCCCTCGAACAAGGTCCTCCCAGGAAAACAGACTCGTTGGCGGCGGCTGTCGCCATCCTGAGTGCGTAGGTTTCGGCGGGACACCAGCTCCATGCTCATTTCTTGGCCTGCGGACAGGTGACGGACCATGGACTCGAGAAGGGTTTCCATGCGAGCTATCAGGGCACCATTGGCTGCGTTGGAGGATTCTGACTGGCCAAGGCCACGGCTGCGGAGGCCTTCTCGACGAGGAGGCATGATGGCGCCGCGGTGAGCATCCGATTCGACAGTGGGCCGGGCCTACCTATTCCTTGAGAACTCTCTCGCGATGTTGATAACCGTTTCTCAATCATTGTTACTTGTTTTCTCCCAATAGTGATGGTCGGTCAGGCGCTTGAACAGGCGGGCACGGAGCCACGGCTTGACTATCCTCCTTGTCCGCGTATGGCCCCGCTTTTTCCTGCGCCGTCGAGAGGCATCATGCATGTGCCTGGTGCGCGTCGTATTCTGCGGTAGGTACGGAGTAAGTTACAGCGCACAATGGTTCGAGACAGCATGGCCAGCTTCATAAAATCCTCGGCCCCGCTCAAAGAATCATTAACAATCCCGCGTCCACCAACTCCCTATGCAATCTTGCTGACTCGAACCCGCAAGCCTTCGTTCTCGACGCCGGCCGATGAAGATGGGGAGCACGGCGGTTGACGAGAAGCGCGCAGCCAAGTCGCGCAAGCGAGCGCCCAACGCCGAGTCCAGCTCGCCGGAGAAGCTCCCAATCCAGCCACAGACGGACCCAACACGATGGAGAATGAAGGACGACGACAGCCGCCACACCTGGCACTATCTGTCCGATAGCCAGGCTGCCGAGGACTGGCCGCAAAGCCTTGCCGATAAATACTATCTGAACCTGCCCTTGGTGCGAGACGACGTGTTCCCCCTGCAGCTCAAGGACTGATTCGAGTAGGGTCTGTCGAACCTTCCGCCAGCCACTACAGCTCTGGACGCGGCAAGAAACGGCTTCGAATTCTTCGAGAAACTTCAATTGCCGTCGGGCCATTGGGGATGCGAGTACGGCGGTCCCATGTTTCTCCTTCCAGGCATCGTCATCGCCTGGTACGCGACCAAGACACCGATACCGCCTGCCTATGCGACAGAGATCAAAAAGTACCTGACCGCGAGAGCGAACCCGGACGACGGTGGCTGGGGACTTCACACCGAGGGCGAGAGCACCGCCTTCGGCATCACCTTGAACTATACGGTGCTCCGACTCATCGGCGTCGACCCCGAAGACCCAGTCATGGTCAAGGCGCGAGGGACGCTGCACAAGCTCGGAGGCGCCGTCAACGCCCCCCATTGGGCCAAGTTCTGGCTCGCTGTTCTCGGCGTTGTCGACTGGGACATTGTGAATCCCGTGCCGCCCGAGATCTGGCTGCTGCCCGACTGGGTGCCCATTGCCCCGTGGCGCTGGTGGATACACATGCGACAAGTCTTTCTGCCAATGGGCTATCTCTACTCGAAGAAATGGAGCTGCCAAGAGACAGATGCTATCCGTGGACTGAGGCAAGAGCTGTTCGTCCAGCCCCATGGCGAGATCATCTGGGCCGCCCACCGTAACAGCATCGCCCCGATAGACAACTACTACCCCAAGTCGTGGCTTCTCAACAGCGTCAACTGGCTCTTGGTGAACGTCTGGAATCCGTACCTGAGGCCAGACTTTATCAAGGAAAGAGCCGAGGCGTGGGTCAGCAAGCTGGTCGACATGGAGGACGCAAACACGGGCTATGCCGACCTAGCGCCAGTCAATGCCCCGCTGAACACGCTCGTGTGCTTTGTCAGAGACGGGCCAGGCGCTTATAGTGTCAAGCGGCACATTGAGCGGCTCGAGGAATATTTGTGGGTAAAAGACGAGGGCATGCTCTGCAACGGCACAAACGGTGTGCAGTGTTGGGACACGGCCTTTTTGATCCAAGCCGTCTTTGCGTCCGGGCTCCAGGACGACGAGCGGTGGAGGCCGATGCTATCGCGGGCTCTCCATTACCTGGAGCGCCAGCAAATCCGGGACAATTGTGAGGACCAAGAAGTGTGCTACAGACAACCTCGCAAGGGCGGCTGGCCCTTTAGCAATCGCGATCAGGGGTACGGGGTGAGTGATTGCATCTCGGAAGCCCTCAAGGCCATTATCCTTTTGCAAAAGTCGGGCGGCTTCCCAGAAATGCTGGACGACCAGCGCATCTTCGACGCGGTGGACACGCTCCTGCTGTACCAAAACGACAACGGCGCGCTGTCGTCGTACGAGGCCAGGCGGGGTGGAGAGTACATGGAGATGCTCAATGCCGCCGAGGTGTTTGGGCGCATCATGGTCGAGTACGACTATCCCGAATGCACGACGGCCTGCGTGACGGCCCTGTCTCTGTTCACCAAGCACTGGCCGGACTATCGGGCCAAGGAGATCCAGCTCTTTGTCCGACGAGCGACCAACTGGATCAAGACGAACCAAAAGCCAGACGGCAGCTGGTATGGCAGCTGGGGCATCTGCTTCACCTACGCGACCATGTTTGCCTTGGAAAGCATGGCCAGCATCGGCGAGACGTACTCCAACAGCCAGATCTCCAAGGCGGGATGTGACTTTCTCGTGTCCAAGCAGCGCGAGGACGGTGGCTGGTCCGAGAGCTACAAGGTGGGCCTGGCGTCGCGCGAGGCGGGATGAATGGGAGTGCTGACAGCCACCTCCAGGCTTGCGAGACGATGCAGTATCACGAGCATGCCACGGGATCGCTCGTGGTCCAGACGGCCTGGGCCTTGATTGGGCTGATGGAGGCCGAGTACCCGGACGTGGAGCCGCTTAAGAAGGGCATCGGACTGATCATGGGGCGCCAGCAGGCCAACGGCGAGTGGCTGCAGGAAGCCATCGAGGGCGTCTTCAACAAGTCGTGCATGATATCGTATCCCAACTACAAGTTCACGTTTACTCTGAAGGCCTTGGGGATGTTTGCGCGCAAGCATCCCGGCGTAGAGCTGGGTCGTTTGGATTAGAGGGGGGCGCAGAAGAAAGTCTGGGCGGACCTAATGGAAGCAATTCTGATTCGGCTGTGCCACCAATCGAACTCAACCTGTAGCTTCAGACGCTGCCAAAGTGTCGTCGTGCCTCGTGATGCGGCTTCCAGTTGCCACGGCGGTGGCTGCCCCACTATAATGAGGTAGGCTTTCTAGAACAGCCGTCACTGCCAGCTGCAACTCGTATATTAACTAAATCCACCGCCCACCTCGGTCTGCGGAAACACATCCCAACAAACCACCAGACCTCATCTTTACTGGATTTCGCCACGCCCAAGAGCAGCGGAGACGTGAAAAAGAAGGGAAAAGCAACCCCAAAGCAACCAGCGCTTTCCTTTCACTGCTCTACGACTCTACTCAACCCTCCCTCGCCTCCCCCATCACCCCCCTTGCTCCCTTCCGCCAACCGCACGCAACAGAGCAGCCAGCACATGGCGCACATCACCCTGGCCCAGCAGGGCCTCGCGGCCGTCGAGGCCCGCAGGTGGGACGAGGCTGTCGCCAAGCTCTCGCAGGCGCTGCAGTCGTCGTACAACCCGGCCTGGCTCGTGGCCCGCTCCAAGGCCTTCGTCAGCCTCAAGCGCTTCGCCGAGGCCCTCGACGACGCAGACGTCGCCTGGCACTCGGCCTACGAGCGCAACAAGCGTCCCTTTCTCATCGAAGCCCACTACCGCCGCGCCGTGGCCTACTATCGCATGGGCCAGTATGCAAACGCCGACTGCTGCTGCATCTACGCCATGAGGCTCGTCAAGGGCTCTCCCGCCTTGGAGCAGGACGATCCCAAGGCCAAGTGGACCGACGAGAATGGCTTCTGGACGGCCACCATGAAGGACGCCGTGGACGAGGCCAAGGCTGACGAATTCAACCGCGGTAGAGAGGCCGGCCGCGTAAGCCATGCCATCCTAATGGATGGGCCGCGCCCCCAAATCGCCGAGTGGAGGCTGGCTAGCACCCTGCGGATGCATATCCTGCGCGCCATGGAGACCCTGCCTGCCGACGACGAGGCCAGAAAGGTGACGGTAAGCCTCAAGCCCGAGCACAAGGAGCTTGTCAATACTGCGCCGGCAGCGGGCGCCGAAACCGAGGAGACGACCACGGCGACAGCGACGGCGACGCAAGCCAACGACGACCCCCCAGCAGCGACCAAGGCCTCGCCAGTGCCCACCGATGCGCAACTTCGGCTGCAGGAGTTCCAGAGCGGCACCACCATGGTCGTGTCCGTCTTCTCCAAGGGAGTCGACAAGGAAAAGCTCCAGGTCGAGTTCCTCCCCTTTGCCGTCCACCTGGACCCCGTCATCTGGCCCAACGGGGAGGAAAAGAAATTCAGTCTGCTTCTCTGGGGAGAAATCGATCCGTCGGCGTCCAAGTACTCCGTGACCCCCAACAAGGTTGAGCTCAAACTTGCAAAGAAGACAGCCGGCAAGTGGCCTCAGCTCCAAAAGGCAGAGGACGAGGACGCTGCCAAGGAGGATGCGCTGCAGTCGTAAGTGCCATTTGACTGCCGCGTCAGGATACGAGAGGTTGGCATTCGACCACTAACACGCCTGATGTTACAGCAGCATCGTGGGCGACAAGGGGAAAGGCAAGGAAGTCGACTCGACGTCCACCCCTTCCGCAGAACCCAAAGCCCCCTTCTCCCCCTCCAAAGCGAGTACCAGCACCTCGGCCTCCAGCTATCCCTCGTCATCGCGCAGCGGTCCCAAGGACTGGGACAAGATTGCCACCGACGAAGACGAGGACGAAGACGAGCGCGACATCAATCTTTTCTTCAAGAGGCTTTACAGAAACGCCAACCCCGCGCAGCAGCGCGCCATGACCAAGAGCTTCATGGAGAGCAACGGGACGTCGCTGAGCACCGACTGGGAGTCCGTCAAGGCCCGCATGGTGGAGACGGTGCCGCCCGAAGGGGTCGAGGCCAAGAAGTGGGAGTAAGGTGATTTCGTGCGGCAGCAGGGAGCGGACAGGGGGGGCATGCAACAGAGAACAGAGAATAGTGAGCCATGCTTGCTTTGATGGTATTCACAGACGCGTGCACAAGGATTGTTTGCGGTGGCATGACGGGACCTGTTTCTATATAGTCTTAGGCTATCTTTAACTTGCTCTCCCCTCTCAAGTGCTCCATCTTTTCAGGGGGTTTTGTGACGCGCAGATTCAGCCGCCAGCTTCGTAGCATCAACACGCGAGTCCGGGTCGCCGGAGCACAAGGCAGCCAAGCTCTACCGGACCAGGCGCCTGGCAACGGGAGGGTCAAAGTTGCAAACCTCGGTGCGCAGCTCGGCATGCCACTGGGACAAGCGCAGCGCCTCCCTGGCCACGTCCGGGGTCCACGGGACCGGACCGCGATAGGCATGGGCCTGGGCGAGGGGCACGTGGGCGGCGCGGCTGAGAAAGTCCTCGGCGGCAATGTAGGCGCCGCGCAGCCAGCGGTGGCCGTCGGAGCCGGGATCGAAGGCGGTGCGGCCGTGCAGGACGCGCAGGTTGTTGAAGATGACGCACTCGCCGGGCTGCAGCTTGCGGCGGTGGACGGCGTCGGGGGCGGAGAAGAGGCGCTCGAGGAAGCGCGCGGCGTCGACCCAGGGGCGCAGGTCGCGGGCGGCGTAGTCGTGGGGCGCCTGGAAGGGCGGGCTCCAGAAGAGGTCCGGCAGGGAGGAGCCGCCGCGGTCCGGGCCGCGCAGCACGGGGCGGAGGGCGTGGTAGTGGAAGCCGTTCCCGGCGTAGTGGTAGGGGATGAGGCGGCGGTCGAGGGGCGCGAGGCGACGGCTGGCGCGCACAAAGGGCCACAGCAGGTGGGCGGCGCGGTCGCCGTCGCTGAAGAGCGACTCGCCGCCGTCGCACGAGTTGTCCAGGCAGTGCAGCACCTGGACCATGGGCGGCGGGTCGAGGTAGAGCAGGTCCTGGTGGAGGCCGAGGGCGCCGCTGGTGTAGGCGACGTTGTCGGCGCCGGGCTTGGCGCGCACGTCGAAGGTGCGGCCGTAAAACGTCTCGCGGATGTTGGCCATGCGCGTCGTGATGTCGACGACGGAGCGCTCGTCGCGCGGCACGTTGCGCAGGTAGACGATGCCGAGCCGGCACACGTCGAGGACGGCGTCCCAGAACGCCGGCCCGCCCTGCATGTAGTCGTCGAAGTCGATGGTGCGCACCTCTTGGTCCAGCACGGCGCGGTCCCAGTAGCGAACGCCCGTCTGCATCGTCACAGACCGCTGCCGGGGGAACATGACGGTGTTGCCGCCGCCGCCGCCCTCACCCTCGCCCTCGCTGTCCTCCGGCTCCCGCGCGCCGCGCCGCCTCAGGGCCACCTCGACCGTGTTCCAGGGGACGAGGGTCTGGTGCAAGCTATCGCCGCTGCCGTCGGACAGGCGCGGGATGTCGTGCGCAAACGTCACCACCAGCCCCGTCTCCGAGGGCTCGACGTGGGCGATGCCCAGGCCGTCGGGGATCTCGGTCGAGCGGTACGTCTTGTTGCCCGAGAAGGGGTCCCTGCAGCGGGCGCAGGCGCAGCTGTCGCGCAGCGTCATGGGCCTGAGCGCCTGGACGTCCTTGCGCGCGTCGTCCTGCGCGAAGATGGCGTCGACGGTCCACGCAATCGTGACGGGCTCGTCGGGGAACGCCGGCATCGTGTACCGCAGCTGCGGCGCGTCCTCGGGCATCCGCCGCGCCGGCCGCGCGCGCGACGAGCTCATCAGCGTCCTCGTCGTCCTGTTGCTGCTCTTGCTGCTGCCGCCATGCTGGAGAAGACGGGAGAGATGCGTCGGGCGCGGCAGCAGCAGCCGCAGGGTTCGGGGTGGCGCTGCTGCTGCTGAGACGGCGCGGGAAGCGATGCGCGTTGGAGACAGCATGGCCAGAGGCGGGAGCTTGGGCTGCATCCAAATTCTGTCCTCCCGGCCACGTGCTCCGAAGGGTCAACTGCCCCGGGCAATGAAGTGATCCTGCTTTGCCCTTGCTTTTTCCGCAATGTAGGCTGCAGAGAGAAGGGCGCGCCTACGCCCCCGCGGCGCTGCCAAGCAAGACACGGCGTGAAGAAGGATGGCCTTCGAGAGCCGACGGGTATTCGGATAGCCGCGGAAGCAAAAGTCGGTCGGCCGGATTATTGTGCATGTGCGACGTAGGTTTTTGGTTGGGGCAGGGCCTACTCTGCGGACGAAGGGGAGCCGAGGCAAGCCTTGAATGCAACGCCATCGAACTCACTCCTGTCAGGAAACTATGAATCACATCGTGGCAAATGTTCCTGTGGTTTGCATCCGCACGTCCACCCTTTAGCCGCGGCCCATGGCAGTCAAGCGCATTCGCGAATTCACTTCTCGACAGACCCGCCCTACGGCATCAAGACCAGCCACATCGTAACAAGTCATAGTATACAGCTAAATTAGACAGCCAGCTTCATCGGTTCCGGTTGCTCGACCATCGCTTAACCATCACCTCTCTGATCTTGTACAGCTTCAGCGCGTCCGTGATGCCTGCGTCCAACGCCTCCTCGAACCTTGGCGGCGCCGGCACGTCCACGTATACCAGCACCAGGCTCTTCATAACGTGTGACAGTACTCGTACAGAGTTGTGCAGCCAATCCCACGTCTTCCGTGGGCCCCGTTTCCCGTGCTGCTTCCACCAGGCGTCCGAGTACGAGGGAATGATCATGAGCCCGAACTCGGCATGGTCAAACACCGGCCCTCTGGTGTACAGCAGCCAATCCACGCCAAACTTAATTCCAGCTCGGGGCACCCAGCCGAGCGACCGAAAGTGATGGTACACAACGTAGTGCAAGAGAAATCCGTCGTCCGGTCCCAGATCCGGTTCCTCAGGGCCGACCCGCGGCGGAAAGTACGAGTATTGGCGGAAGCGGACCAGCATGTTCCTGGTCGACAGAGGCAGCCCGGACTCGGCGTCGGATATGCTGAGAGCTCCGAGTCCGAAACACAGGAAGAAGGCCTCCTCGGGTGTCAACTGCAAATGCTCCTGGTTGATAATGTGTTCCACCTCGGTAGCGAATGGGGCGCCATCTGCATCTGAAGCGGGTACACTGGCCGGGACCTCGCCAGGTATGGGCCTGCCACAATCATGTCCTAGAAGCTGCTGGCTGCTTCTCCCACTCGCCGAGGTCTGGTTCGGACTGGGAGGGTCCGAGAGCTGGAAGGTGGTTGACTCCACCTTGGGAGAAAAGCGAACGCTCTTTTGCCGGCTTGGAGACTTGGCCTCAAAGGGGTTGCTGCAAGATTCCGAATACTCTGTGGGCTTGAACGCGCCGCCGTTCTGCCCATGTCCGTTTGCAAGGGCCTCAGCTGGACGGCCGTCCAGAACGTCGTCCGAAGCATCAGCCACGGCGGCTGGGGACTGCGCAACCCCATTCGCGAAGTCGCGGGAAGGAGAGTCTCCATTGGCCACATGGCTGATGGACTTTCCATGGGACAAAATAGGCCGTCCATTTACATCCGCCGGGAGCGGTTCAGCGAGCCGCAGAGTCGCCGAAAGCTCAGCATCTGAGTTTGGCAACGCTAGAATCTGCTGCGGACCAACAGGTGCTGCTGGACCGGCCGGAACGGGGAGTGGACTTGTCGAGTTTGCCCGACGAGCTTCCTCTTGACGTGCCTCTTCCAGCCTGGTATTCCGAATGGCTTCTTGCTCCAGCCTGGCTCGCTCCCACTTGGCTTGTGCGCGCTCTTGTCGTCTCTGGACTGTCAGAATTTCACTGACATGGGCATCCTGGAGCCCCCTCCGGACTCGCTCTCGCTTCAGCCAATTGGGTTCGCTACGGCTTAAGCTGCCTTTGCCGTAGAAGCCTTGTTCCCAAAGAGCTCTCATGGACGTGTCATCTGTGACATGGACGGAAGTCGTGGCCTCGGACCAAACTCCATGGTGGATGACGGCCGGCTCCGCGGGAGGCGGAGAGAGCACCTGGCCCAACCATGCTGATGCGACATGAAAGAGGGACAGGGGATTTCCAGGGTAAAAGGTCGGGAGGGGGAAGGTTCGGATGGGGGCGGGGAGGGCGTATATCTGGTGGATCGAGGGCCCACGCTTTGCGCCCGGCGATGTATGAGTCGCCTTTCCTCTCGGGCCAGGCGCTTGGGGTGGAGTTTTGACCTCAGCCATTTTGGGGGAGGATCATCTTGGCCTGGACGAGGAAAGTCAGCATTGAAAGCGCATGGCGTTGAGACTGAAGCGAGAGAACAAGGCAAATGTTTCCAAGACTGCGTCAGATACCGTTGTAGTCTATAATCAAGGGCTATCACCGAGGCCAAGTGAATGGTTCCTCTGAGCACATTGGGTATATTTTGTCATCATTGCAGTCAAGGAGATGGAATAGGCCAGAGAGCCTGTCGAGACGTCGAGACGCAGCTCAACCGACGCTGGGCAGAACAGATTGAAGTCGTCGGTGCAAGAGGCCTCGAACAAATGGAGCGGAAAAGGCGTGCGCACTTACTTGTCCAAGGACCTATCGGACATGGTCCGGAGTGTACGGCAATGCTCCAGAGACGACGCAAAAGGGGCCAGCCGAGATTGTCTGCTGGCGCTGGGGCGGCGGTGATCCAAGGAAGCGAAATTTTTGCGAGGCAGAGGGGCGGAAGCGGCGGTTGGGAAAAGAAGAGCTCTTATGTAAGGCACACACACAAGCATTCGGTACTTGCAACAAAGTACCATGATCAACACCCGAAACGGTGGCTTAAGCGAGCCCCCGCCGGAGAAAATTTCGTCAGAGTGCTTGTTCGTGTTCCGTGAAGCCGTTCATCTTATCTCTCGACCTGGCAGCACTACATGTACAGTGCGCACTGGAAGTACATGATGGCTTGGTGCGGTATGGCAGAAACTTGTTCCGTCAAGCACGCTGTCTGTGGATCTGGACGGGCTGGTCGTGGTGCTTAACTTAGTAGCTGTCTGAGAACTGACGGGGCGACGAGTGAGCACCCTCACCCTCATTATTGCCGAGTACAGGCTGTTCATCACTGCTCAAGAGGTACCACCCATCCCATTCATTACTACCTTACCTACGGAGTAGTCGGACTGACTGATTGATCTGGTATTGGTCTAGGGAGGCCGAGGTACGTATACCTCGCGTCGGGCTCTGCACTTCGCCTCTTCCGCGCCTATAAATGAGCCAAGGCCGGCCTGCTGCCATGACACACAGCCCCCTAGTACTGCCAACCAGCTTTTGATGCCTGGCGCGCAAGGCGACGACGCTAAACGTCTCCCTCGGCCTCCTTTGCGAAACCTGAGACTACCGCCCAAGGCCTTTGAGCACGACGCTCTATGCTGCCGGATCCTCGGCCCGAGTCAGGCGTCACGTCTTCGGCTGCCGATTCGTCCATCCGCCCATCCGACGCTCTCAACCACAGGCCCGCCACCGATCTCTTTCCAAATTCCGTCATTATATAGCAGGCGTCCGCGCCCCTCAGACGGACGGCACATCGCTCTCTGCTCTCTGCCATCCGCCGCCCCCCCGCCGCCAGCATAAGCACCCATCACCCCCCTCGGTCCTTGTCTCATCCCATGCGGGTTGGCGTCCCTTCACGGGCGTTTCGGCTTCCCCAAACGATAGAGGCCATGCGGCCTGAAGAACGCCGGCAATGATTCCCTTGATCGAGACGGCCGCCTTCATCTGTCTGGTTTGGAGCGTCGTCATCGTCTGCGTTCAACTTGTCGGCATCAGCGCCGTGTAAGTAAATGGCGCCCACGTTACTCTTCATCTTCATACTGACTGGGTATCCTGCATAGCTTCCGCTACTTTTCGCGTCGACCAAATCCTCCCGTCTCGTCGAGGCTTGGCAAGGATGCGCCCGCCGTCACCATAATTCGCCCGGTAAAGGGCATCGAACCTCACCTCTACGACTGCATAGCCTCCACTCTCCAGCAAGACTACCCCGTCGACAAAGTCTCCCTTCGCCTGTGCATCGAGGACGAAAACGACCCCGCCTATCCCATCCTCAAGAAACTCGTCGCCGACTTTCCGGCCTTTGACATCCAGTTGCTTCTCGAATCCCGCGACCCAGCCCTCCACGGCCCCAACGCCTACCTCAACCTGGGGCCGAATCCCAAAATACGAAACATCAGCAGGGCCTATCGCGAGGCCAAGGGGGACATTATCTGGATCATCGACTGCAATGTCTGGGCCTCGAGCGGCGTCCTCGGCCGCATGGTGGACAAGTTGGCGGGCTTCGCCGACGGGCAGCGCTCGATGACGCCATACAAGTTTGTCCACCAGATGCCCTTTTTGGTCGACACCATGGACTACGTTGATCCGTGTCCCGTCACGAACCAAGCTGCGGCGTCGCAGGCCACGCAAACCACTCCTGGGGCCGAGCCGTCGGCGGCGGCGGCCGGCGGTGCGCTCACTCGAATCATTCGCAACGGCGGCGGCCGTCTCGACGAAATGTTCTTTGGCACCACGCACGTCAAGTTCTACGGTGCCATCAACGCCGTGGGGGTTGCCCCCTGTATCGTGGGCAAGAGCAACATGTTCCGCAAGTCCCATCTCGACCTGGCGACGACGCCGTCGCGAAACCCCCTCATCGAGAAGGACGACGTGCGGCCCACTGGCGTCGACTACTTTTCACACAACATCTGCGAGGATCACCTGATTGGCGACCTGCTCTGGCGCTCCAACATCGCGGGCCACCGGAATCACGGCATGGTCTGGGGCGACCTGGCGGTGCAGCCCATGGCGGGCATGTCCGTCTCGGCGTATGCCGCTCGGCGCATCAGGTGGCTGCGGGCCCGCAAGTTCACCGTGCTCGTTGCCACCTTGGTCGAGCCCGGCGTCGAGTCTCTTGTCTGCTGCGCGTACTTTTCCTTTGCTCTCACAACCTTGCCTTGGTTTCGGGCGCACCTCGGCATCCCGCAGACGTGGAGTGCCGCGGCGCTGATATGGACGATCTGCGTCATGTCCTGGATGTGCGTGGACCGCATCGTCTTTGGACTGCTGCATGCGGGGACCACCATCGAAGTCGACGAGAACACGCCGCGGTATGCTCGGGGCACGTCTCATGCGGGGGGGGTGCCTCGCAGGACGTTTGGATCGTGGCTTCTGGCTTGGCTTGGGCGCGAGCTGATGGCGCTGCCGGTCTGGGCCTGGGCGGTGCTGTTCGGGACGACGGTCAAGTGGAGGGGGAAGACGTTCCACGTACGGCTGGATACGTCGGTGGTCGAGGTCACGGGCCAGACGCCCGGCCGCAAGGGGTCGCGGACTCCGGAGCTGGAGCGGGCGAGCAAAGACAGGGTGGACTAGGAGGGCGGAGGTCGACATGTACATTTTGCTCGATATCAACTTGCTTGCTCAAGGGTTGGCCGTTGTTCCTCGGCCTCGCCGCCTGAGCCCTCGTCTCCCCGTTTATCAGCGCGGCGGCGAGGTGGTTCCGGCGCAGGCGAATGCGCTTGTCATCTCGGAGGACCCCTGTATGTATGCAGCAGCCCGCCTTACATGTCGGCATCATGGAAGCACGCGGGCTTTAACCCGGACACGAGCCCTAGCGTTGAGCTTATCACCGGGGTAGAGAGACGTTGGCATCTTGGCTCGATCGCATCAGCAGTCCGGTTGGGCAGGGCATGGCAAGCTGCCGCGTTTGGCAGCCAATACTTTGCACTCCATGCACCACCACACTCGGGCTGTCGGCACCGGCATCGTCAGTCTCCCCCCATCCCCTCCCTCTCTCACTCCCTCCCCGCCGCCTGGGGTATCACGACGGGCCGAGAGCAAAAAGGCCACATGCTAGTGCTGCTACGGCTGCTGGGCAATTCGGCTACCAGGGCTCCACGACATGGCGCGCGTCGCTCCTCGGAGGGGCCGAGCACGACCAACAAGCAGGCATCGTTGCTCTTTGGCCTCATGTGAAGCGGAATGGAGCCGATGTAACCACCTGGGCAGTTGACGATTGCCCCCCGCCCGCCAGCTGGCTAGCAAGCAGCAAACCACGGGCTGGCGCGAGGTGCATGCATGGCCTCGAACTGCAGCCTGAGACCTTGTTCTCATGACTGCACATCTTTCGTTCCCCGCATACCCGGGCTCCGGCCCCTTTTCCCGTTTCCTGTTCGCCGCCCTGGAGGAATGTTTTTTTTTGGTGCTTGAGCGCGACGATCGTGCATCTCTCCCCCGACAAGCACCTCTACTCCCCCCCGCAGTTTCGTCTTCGCCGCCATGGCTGCAGAGGATGAGGCCCCGTCGGCGGCCATGGGCAAGGCGGAGAAGGCCCCCGTCAAGGTGAGCGAGGAGCGGTATGGCGACCGGATCCCGCACGATATGCTCGAGACGCTGGCTCCGAACGGCGAGGGCGACTTCATCCTGGCCAAGATCAACGCCATGTCCGAGGAGGAGGCGCTGGCCATTGTGCAGGAGTCGCTGCAGTTCCACTCGGACGACTGGAACTTCCCGTCGGACATGCGGGAGCGGATGCGGCGGCTGCTGCTGGGGCCCAAGACGTACGGCGAGCACTACGAGCGCGACCTGCGCATCGACGCCGTCGTGATGCGGTGGTCGTCGCCGTACCCCGGGGTCCGGGCCGTGGCGAGCCCCGTCGACGACGCCGACGGCCCGACGGAGACGGCCCGGGCGTACCTGCTCGGCATCGGCTGGGCCGTCATCGGGACCTTTATGTCCACCTTTTTCAACAGCCGCTTCCCGGCCATCGGTAAGTGGGCGCTGTTCCCTCTCCCTCTCTCACTCTCACCCCTTGCTCACTGCTCGCGCCCCCCCACCCCCGGCCCAGGCCTCAACGGGTCCGTCATCCAGATCCTGCTGTTCCCATGCGCCAAGACGCTCGAGCGCGTGCTGCCCGACTGGGGCGTCAGCGTCGGCGGCACGCGCCACTCGCTCAACCCGGGCCCGTGGACGTTCAAGGAGCAGATGTTTGCCACCATCACGTACAACATCGCCATCTACACGACCAACAGCTACGGCATGATCCTGGTGCAAAAGTCGCCCGTCTACTACGGGCTCGGCTTCGTCACCTTTGGCTACCAGCTGATGCTGACGCTCTTCGTGCAGCTCATGGGCATGGGCTTCGCCGGCTACCTGCGCCGCTTCAGCGTCTACCCGGTCAAGGCGCTGTGGCCGACCATCCTGCCGACCATTGCCATGAACCGCGCGCTGACCAAGCCGGAGCGCCGCGAGAGCATCAACGGCTGGACCGCGTCGCGCTACCGCTTCTTCTTCGTCGCCGCCGGCTCCATGTTCGTCTACTACTGGCTGCCGGGCTTCCTCTTCACCGCGCTGTCGCAGTTCAACTGGATGACGTGGATCGACCCGCGCAGCCTCCCGCTGGCCATCCTGACGGGCTCCGGGCTCGGCCTCGGCCTGCTCAACCCCGTCACCACGTTTGACTGGAATGTGGCCACGTCGTCGTACGCGGCGCTGGCCCAGCCCTTCTTCAGCACCCTGACCATGTACTGCGGCAGCGTCCTCGGCGGCTTCATCATCCTCGCCATCTACTACGGCAACCAGTACAACACGGCCTACCTGCCCATCAACTCGTCGGCCGCCTACGCAAACGACGGCAAGCCCTACGTGGTGCAGCGCGTCGTCACCGCCAACCGCCTCGACCGCGCCCGCTACCAGGCCTACTCGCCGCCCTTTTACACGGCCGGCTACGTGCTCACCGTCGGGGCCAACTTTGCCTTCTACCCCGTCTACTTCCTCTACATCATGGTCAACCAGTGGCGCACCATGTCCAAGGCCTACGCCGACTTCTACCGCGGCCTGCGCCACGGCAAGGGCAACTACGAGGGCGCCATGGACGTCCACAGCCGCCTCATGGCGCGCTACCGCGAGGTGCCCGACTGGTGGTTCCTCGCCATCCTGGCCGGCGCCGTCGTCGTCTCCGTCGTCTTCGTCCGCGTCTATCCCGTCGACACGCCCGTCTGGCTCGTCTTCCTGCTGCTCGGCATCAACGCCGTCTTCGCCGTGCCGCTGTCCTTTCTCTCGGCCACGACGGGCACCAACCTCGGCCTCGGCTCGCTCGTCCAGATCATGACGGGCTACCTGCTGCCCGACAACCCCAACGCCTTCCTGTTTGCCCAGACGCTGGGCTCGTGGGCGCTGGCCGGCTACGGCGACAACTACGTCCAGGACCAGAAGATGGCCCACTACTGCAAGATTGCGCCGCGCGCCGTCTTCCGCAGCCAGATTGGCACCATCGTCATCACCTGCTTCGTCGCCGTCGCCACGCAGAACTTCATCCTCGACCACGTCGAGGGCCTGTGCACCCCCGACCAGCCCAGCCGCTTCACCTGCGCCGGCGACGGAGCGCCGCTCTACGCCAGCTCCCTCATGTGGGGGGTGCTGGGGTCGGACCGCATGTTCGGCTCGCTCTACCCGCTCTTCAAGTGGTGCTTCCTCATGGGCGCCGCCATTGCCGTCGTCTTCCTGCTCGGCCAGGGCCTGGGGCCGCGGTACCTGCCGGGCCTGAGGGAGCGGCTGCGCGGCCCGCTCGGCCCGCGGGCGTTTGCCGTCGTCGACAGAACCCTCTTTCGCCTCGTGGGCTCGCTGCTGTGGCTCAACCCGGTGCTGGTCATCCAGGGCATCCAGCACTGGGCGCCGTCGAACCTGGCGTACAAGACGCCCGGCATGCTGCTCTCCTTTGTCTTCATGTACTGGCTCCCGCGCCGGCGGCTGGCCTGGTGGACAAAGTACAACTACACCCTCTCGGCCGCCTTGACGGCCGGCCTGGCCGTCAGCGCCCTCGTCATGTTCTTCGCCGTCGGCTACCACCCGGTCCGGCTGGACTGGTGGGGGAACCGGGTAAGCACCGCCGGGGTTGACGGATCTGCCGTCGGCCTCTACCCAATCCCTGAGCGAGGGTACTTTGGCCCAGAAAGGGGCACATTTCCGTAGGAAGAGGCTCGGTCCGAATGGGGGGGTAGCAGATGTGTTTGTCTTGGCGTCTCGGTTCCAGACTCTTGGGGGGGCCCGACGGGAATATTCTGCCTCGGCCTGCTTGCCCCTTTTGTGCCCAGGAACTCGGGGTCATGAGGCCGAGCATGCCATGGATTTTGCCTGCCTCTTCCCGGGCAAGGGTTCTGCCGCGTACAAGTGGAAAAGCCCGAGTGCCGATCAGGCGATTATATTTAGACGAGCAGAAACCGCCACTGCCCCCAGGACGGGCACCGGATAGTTACGTGAGGCCTGCCAAGAAACTTGAAATTCCTCTCGCACGAACCCCCTCTGTTGATTGTAGGAGCCAGGGCATGAGTGAACAGATGCCTCGGCTGGACTTGGGCCACGATCCGGAAAAGGTGTTCACGACTGTTTGGGGTTCGGCACAAGGCTGCTTAGCGCAGCAAGCTTAATCTTTGTTTGGGTTTTACCTCGCCCTTGCTTGTCTCGAAACCAACAAGAGACGGACAAGGGGGGGCGACAAAATAGAGGCGGATGGTGCCGCGGAATCTGGGGCCGGTGCGGGGGAGGGGCGGCGAGTGCTACGATACAAGTCCCGTCACAGGCATTGCCATATTTGACCACGGAGACGGGACAGATACACAGGGTCCAGCGTGTTTTGGGTCCGGGAGATGGGGATTTCTAAATATACCGAGGGGACGTCCCTTTTTGTTGCTCAATCTTGCATTCTGCTGGCAAGTAATCGGGGTGCCAAATAAGTGAACAGGCTCCGCGTCGACGCTCAGATGGGCGGTTTCCGATGCGTGCTGGGGGGGGATCATTGTGGTCACGCTGCGCATCGCATTTTGATGGCGGCTCTCTGCCATCTCAATAGACCCTCTCCCATTACGTTTTACTTACGTCTTGCCATCTGTCTGTGGTTCTGGACGCCCAGCGTCGGCTTGGGCGCCCAGGCGAGGGATGGGATTCCCCGCGCGCGCCGGCGGATGCAGACATGAATCGCTCACGACCCCGAATCCTCTTGGAATTGACACCATTGCGGGTCAATCTGCAATGAGACACTCTATCCTCTCTACTAGCTGCCACTGGGGCGTGGAGTTGATGAGTCGCCATGCCGCAACCCCCAACTATGCCGTCGCCCCATCCGACGTGGCGTGGAAGGCGTATTCCTGGCCGCCTCTATTATTGCATAGTTGTATCGTGTTTTCTGGTCAGGGCCTCCTTGCCGATGCCGTGGACGATACATGGGGCTCTGGCTTGAACTGGTCGTTCAACGAGCCGAGGCCAAGCCAGGGCGCCGTCAATGCATCCGGAAGTGCGCCCTTCACTCGACGCTTTTTGGGCCACAAATTACAAAGCGACGAGGGAACGCAAAACGCGTAGACCTCCGGACCTGACAGGAGTGCGCGCATCGTCGAGTGTCGGCTATCGGGGGCGCATGGGCTTGCGCCGAGGTGAAGAAGCAGGCGGCTGGAGTCTCGATACGATGGCGAGACGGTTGCTCAACCGTGCGCCCGCGCGCCTTAGTTCCCGTACGGGAGGCACGGGCCACGGTTTCTCTTGGCAGGTGGACCGATTTGTTTTGCCTTTTCCACCTCTCAGGCTCCTTTCGGTCTCTCGAGGAGAGCAACATGATCTGCTTTGGCACTGGCGAGGCACACGTTTGTTCCGCGCCGCACAGGCTTGGCTAGCGTATGTACTGTATGTAGGTGCATGGGCATGTTGCCTGGCAGCTTTATCTTTATCAGCCTGGTAAACTTTGAAAGCCTGCCGAGCCTATCATGGCACGCCTATATCTTACATGGTCCCCTGCAACAGGGTTCGAAGGGTTACATGCATGGCCGGGCAGGCAACCTCCCCCGGCAGGCCCGGAAAGTCCAGACCCAGTCCCGGGGCTGGAGTGGGTTCGACGAGGTCAGGTGCGCAGTCGGTATTATGCCCGATGGCAAGAGAGCAATACGGGTGGGTTTGTGTCGCCAACAGTCCGGTAGTCTTGTACGTAAGAGAGATGGCGTTCAAGGGTTGGAGGAGCCTCGGAGTAACTAGAAACAGGCATGCCGTCGTATGACCACGTCGGCACTCACCGGGGCATCCCCCTCAAGGATCAGGGCTCCTCACCGTGTGTGGAGTCGTGGGGTTTGGACTCTGGAGATGGTGGGTGATGACTCGCCCAGGACCGAGGAAGAAGAAACATGGACGACTGAATCGCGGGGAAGACGGGGCAAGCGGCGGAAACAAAAGGACGGAGGATTCCGCAGCGTATAGCCAAAGCGAAGGGGCGCTGTGCTGTCCGCGGGCTTCTGGTTGGATTTCACCGGGCTTGTGCTTGTGAAGCTGCTCCATGTCAGCCAGCAGCTGGGAAGACTGGCAGGACATTGCCACCTATACAGTTACATTAGGTGGTATATTACTATGCGGTACACTGCTATACAGTAGGTAGGCACATTGCTATACCGTAGATACACCGCTGTGTAGTGGGTGCACCACTATATAGTAGGTACACTACTGTACAGTGCAGTACCCCGCCTAAGTACCTAGCGGCTGCTTGGGAAACACGCCAGAAAAGGCTACTGCCTACAAGGGCTTGGATTGGATTGCCCCTGCCTAGTTGACCCCCCCTCCCCCGCGGCCCGCCCTACCGTCACCTCCCCCGCACGGCGACGAGGGAGACACGCCCCCCGGCTTGTACTATTTTTTATTTTCCCCTCCTCCCTTGCACATTCGAATGCTGATCGCGACGACAGGTTTCGACGCCCTCCTCCGACATGTTGTGTGTTCTGGAACACGGACTAGCCTGGACTGGTGCCAAGGATCTATCCGACCCTTTGAGACCCCGTCTGTTCAGCCCAGGAGACGTGGATGCTGGGGAGGGGGGCCGAGGGGGGCAGAGGGGGGGATTTGATGAGGCTGCATCGGCATCAGCATCAGCATCAGCATCAGCATCGCCATCGCCATCGCCATCGCCATGTCCTCCGCGTCAGCCGTCGCATCTGTCAAGCCGCCTGGAGTGGCCCTCCGTCGCGTGGCATTTCTGGGCGCCCGTGCTCTGGTGCCCTGGCCAAGAGCCGGCCACGGTCTCGCCGAAGCATACAGACAATCTGGTTCGTGCCACGCTACACGCACTCAACTCTCTGCCTCGTGGCCAACAGATTCTTCTCACAGACCACCATCGTCGTCCCCGAGTCCGAGCCCTCGTGTCGAAACATCAGATAGCAAAAATAGACGTCGAAAGAACAACCGGTTCCAGCCCGCGACACACGCCTCTCTCCCCCAACACCCCCCCTATGCCCTTGTTCCGCCCACGCCTCTGCCTGTAGAGATCTGGGGAAAGCTCAGGTCCCCTGTCTCGCGCCACATCCTTGTACTTGCATGCCCTGGCCGAACCCTCGACTCATCCACGTCTTATCACAATAATATATAAACATGTCTCGGGGCTCCCCTCCCTCTCCTCTTCCCCTCGCTGACCTCGTCTCCATCTTACAGCTTCTCGTCTTCCCTCCCCACAAAATCCATCATCGCCGGCTTCGCAATCCCTCCATTCCCCAGTCTCTACCGAGGAAGAGGTTGCGGTCGAGGCCCCCGACCGTTGCGACTACCCCTCGCAGCCATGCCGTCGACGACGCAACACGAGCCCGCCGATGACTTGGCCAAGGGCGTCCTCGCCACCGCCAAGCAGTCCTGGCGCGACCTCTTCGTCTGGAAGCAGCGCGTCGCCCTCTCCAACGAGTATGGCGAGACGCGCTGCGAGTGGCACCGCCCCGACCCTATCCAGAACCCCTTTAGCCTCTTCGCACAGCTCTCCGCAAGGGACTGGCTCTTCTTTGTCGTCGGCTTCTGCGCCTGGACCGCAGACGCCTTTGACTTTCACGCCCTCTCCATCCAGACCGTCAAGCTCGCCGGCTACTATCAGCGCAGCAAGGCCGACATCACCGCCGCCATCACCCTGACTCTGCTGCTGCGCTCCATCGGCGCCGCTGCCTTCGGCCTTGCTGGCGACAAATGGGGCCGCAAGTGGCCCATGGTCTTCAACATGATTATCCTCGGCGTCCTGCAGATTGCCACCATCTACAGCGCCACCTTCTCCCAGTTCCTCGCTGTCCGCAGTCTCTTTGGCCTCTTCATGGGAGGCGTCTACGGCAACGCCATTGCCATGGCCCTCGAGCAATGCCCGTGCGTGCCTTGCCCCCTGCCCCTTGATCATCCTCACCCATGACCCTCTGCTAACCCGCGCTTTCTGCCACGTAGATCCAACGCCCGTGGCTTGATGTCGGGCATTCTGCAGCAGGGCTACTCCTTTGGCTATGTCCTTGCTGCCTGTGCCAACCTGGGCGTCGGCGGCGGACTGGACAGTTGGAAGACGGTCTTTTGGATCGCCGGTGCGTTTTGCCTCCCCCTGTACCCTCCACTCTTAGTCGTCGACGACTGACTCGGTGTGCCTGCAGCCGGTATATCCATTGCCATCGGTCTCATCCGAATCTTGTTTCCAGAGTCGCAGCAGTTCCTCGAAGCCAAGAAGCAGGGCACCAAGAAGTCGTCTCCCGGCGCTTTCTGGCGTGACACGCGCAAGATGCTGAAGCAGGAGTGGAAGATGTGCATCTACTGCATCATCCTCATGACGTGGTTCAACTACTACTCGCACACGTCGCAGGACTCGTACACGACCTTTATGTTGACGCAAAAGGAGCTCAGCAACGCCGGTGCGTCGCGAGCATCGATCCTGATGAAGGTGGGCGCCTGCGTCGGCGGCACCATCATCGGCTACTTGAGCCAGTTCTTTGGCCGCAGGCGGGCCATCATCTTCTCGGCCCTCATGTCCAGCTTCATGATCCCGGCCTGGATCCTGCCCGAGGGCGAGCGCGCCCTCAGCGCCACCGGTTTCTTCATGCAGTTCTTCGTGCAGGGCGCCTGGGGCGTCATCCCCATCCACCTCAACGAGCTCTCGCCCGTGGCCTTTCGCTCCACCTTTCCAGGCGTCACGTACCAGCTGGGCAACATGATCTCGTCCCCGTCGGCGCAAATTGTCAATGTCATCTCGGAACAGACGTTTGTCCGTCTGCCCAACGGCGACCAGGTCGAGGCCTACGGGCCCGTCATGGGCATTGCCACGGCCATCATTGCCGTCGGCATCATCGTGACGGTCGTGTTTGGGCCTGAGAGGCGCGGCAGGGTCTTTGAGAACAGGATTGCCGGCATGGACACGGAGACTGCGACGGAAAAGTCGATGGAAGACGAGCCGCACGACGAGGAGAAGGCGCGGGTCGAGGTGGCGGAGAAGAAATGAGCATTCGTCAAGCAGGGCTGTTCTAATAGGCGAAGCAAGCGGAGCCGGGCAGGCTGGTCAATGCGAAGCCATCTAGGGAGAGGTCGATGTGGGCGTGGCAGGGGAGAGGCTCCATGCACTTTATACCCAAGAGCCGAGCCATGTTTATAAATTTGACACGATATATGTGACGCCACCGAGACTTGCGCCGCAGGTCTCCTCGAGCTGGTTCTCGACCATGTGCGCTGGACATTGGTGATGGTACGTTTATTGTCAGGTAATCGGCGATGGCAGAAGCACCGGCTCTGGCAGGGACCGGACAACGCATGTGGGCATTGCGGCTTCACCGCAAGCGTTGCTGCTAGTGACTTGTTCTTGGGGGTTTCTAGCTTGGCCCCGTCGATATTCTGATACATTGGTTCGTTTACCATTCTCTATCAACGACAACCCCCGACTTCATGACAACCCATGTACCAGCCTCCCGACTGAGTCCCCCAAGGGTCATCACGCCACTCTGCTCCGTCCACCACGGTGCCGTTACTGGCCTCCGTACACGGGCGTTGCGGCATAGACCTCGGGCTGCTTGTGCATTTCGGCAACGGTGCGCTGTTCGGGCTTGAGTCCCCAGGTGACAAAGTACGGGGTCAGGTCCTTTTGTGCGATTTCCGCCGCCTGCGTCATAAAGTAATGTTTCTTGTCGGCGTCGGTCAGGAAGGTCTCGTTCGTTTTGCGGGCGTTTCGGTGAAGTTGAGCGTAGAAATGGTTGCCAAACACGACGCGGAGCTGCTTGAGCATGACAAGCTTGGTAAAATTGTCTTGCTCGTCATAGTCTTTGTTGCTGGCGGCTTGGGCGAGATATGCCTTGGCCTGGTTCCATTCCTGGACCGTCGCGTGCTCCGTCTGCGGGTCAGAGACGAGCCTGTGGAGATGATTGGCTGCCAAAGTGTAGATGTTGACGGTAACCTCCAGCATGGCTCCCCAGCTCCACGTCGACTCCTGTTGCCGAAAGTGGCCCAGCTCGTGCCACATCTTCTAAGACCTATGAAGCGTGCGTTGGGCCCAGATATCGCTGGTCGTGTTGCCTCCAATGGCAACACGATAATTGGCCGCGTTCGCAAACTCCTGCTTGTTCCCCTGCACAACCATGATTCGCAAGGGGCTGGGTCTATCCCGCGGGTCCGGCGCGATGGCGTCCAGGCCGCTGATGTCGTCTTGGACAGCCATGATATACGTGTACGATTCCAAGAGCTGCACTTGATCCCGTCCTTCCTCGGCGAATTTCAAGGCCTCCGCCGCCAGCCCGGTGAGGATGACGCGCTCGCCGGCGTGCTCCGCGAATGGGACCTTTGTCACTCGCAGCATGTCCAGCCACTCGGCTTCGGTCGTCACCCCGGGCCGGTAGAAGGGAAACGGGACGGCCGCGGGTCCGTCGCCGAAAGTGACGGTTACGGGAGGCGGTACCTGTTCCCGTTCATTGGGCTTGTAGACGTAGCGAATGTAGAGAATGCCGCCTCGGGCAAACTTCAGTGTCTGACGGCCGTCTCTCAACCACGGCGCCGGGAGTAGCCTAGCAGACTTGTCTGTGTTCGGATCATTGGGGTCGATCAAAGACAGCGTGCCGAGCAGGATCTCGAATATCGACTCATTGCCGCCCAGCCCAGAGACTTCGATTGTGATGGGCTCGAGCGGGTTCAAGTAGAAGCCCGTTGGCTGAAAGTCGGCCCAATACCGGGACACCTTGAGCCGCTCTTTCTCGCTATGGGCACTCGGTAGGGCCGAGACAGTCATGATGCGCGGCTGGGCAAACTTGGACAGATCATCCTGCAACAGAGGCTGAGGCTTCGGACCCAGGCTCTTGCCGCTTGTATTCACTTGAGAATAGTGTTCAGTCCAAGCCGTATGGCCGGTGACGTTCCGAAACTCATTAGAGCCCGAATTGCGATCCGAAGGCCGCCCGGTGTCGTCCGAGAATACTTCGGAGTCCCGAGTACTATCTAGGATCAGCTTGGTGCCGTCCGAAAACTCATTTGAGCCCGAATTGCGATCCGAATACTGGGGAAGCGCCGCGGCCAGTGGCAGCGCGAAGGTGAACCACGCGGGACGCATGTCGCTTGTAAGTGGTGTTGATTGTTCTAAGAGAAGGGAGTGATGCGAGCGGACCAAGTCTGCTGAACGATAACAGTAAACAGACTAAGGGGAGAACAAAGGCGGATGATTCCAAGGAGAATGTCGGTTCAGGGTCTTGTCCACAGTGTTGTGCCGCAGCGGAAACAACTCGAAAGGAACGGACAGAGGGTTTTATAGATTTCAGATGACTTGAAGTACGGACTCGAGAAGCAAACGCTTGGTCGCAACCCGCCGACAGGATGCTCTTGGAAACATATGAGGCATTTCCATAGGCCCGTCTCAAGGCTTAGCCTCGATGGCACTCAACACCGTCGAGTCCTTGCGAGTAACATCAAAACTCGAAATGCCGGTGGCCGGTTTGCGGGTTAGCCGGCTGCATTGAAGCTGCCGCGTTGGCACATACAGACAAGCCCCAGCAGCCATACAGGAGAGGAGATTGAATGTAACGATGCGGGATGCGCCCGCTAAATTCGAAACGTCTCCAACTTAGCATTTATATCAGCAGAGGCTCTAGGTATTTATCTTAACTTAATAATGCGAGTGGCTAGAGGATATAGGGTTTTTTTTTATATTATTACTCGCATACAGCCTCTAGGGCTATAGCGAGGCTAATAGGGGCCTAGGCCCCTATTAGTAGTCCTAGCTAGCTATAGAGCCCGGGGGCTTATAACTAATTAAGGAAAGGGTGGCTATAAAGGTAAAGATAAAGGAAAGGTTAGTCTAGTTCCTCTTACGCGGTATTATCCCCCCTTAATAGCCCTAGGGCCCCTAGGTTACTTCTTCTTAAGCTACTTAGCTATTCCTATCTTTATTTTAGCTAAGAAAGTTAAAAGGGCTTCCTTTTTATTATAAGGTAAGTAAAAGGATATACTATAAGTGCCCTTTATTATATTATAATAATAAGCTATATAGGATCTAACTATATACTATACTTAGTACTACTAAATATATATTTATATATATAGCCTACCTTACCTTATAACGCTATTAGCTAAGGTCTAGGCTAATACTTAGACCTATATTAAAGGTAAATACCCCTATATAAGGTCCCCGCCCTTCTTTTTATAGGCGGTCTCTTATAACGTTAATCTTATACCTTAGCGCGCGGCTAAGAGATAAATAACCTATTAGCGCGCCCTTATTACTCTTTCCTCTTAACTATATTATTATTAATAGTAGTAGTAGTAATAGCTATAACTAAAACTATAAGTCTCTTAGCGCCTAGCTATATACTACCGCCTATATATAAGCTAACCTACACCCTTATTAGTTATTTAAATAATTTAATATATCCTCCCCTACCTTATCCTACTTCTCTACTAAGATCGATGCCTTTATCGACCGCGCCCTTACCTCGCCCGCTACCCTACCTATTACCCCCGCCGCCCTAGCCGCGCCCGCCGCCGCCCCGCGCTACCCGCTACCTAGCTTCTCGGCTATTAACTTTGCTACCCGCGCCGCCGCCGCCCTTACTACGCTCTCTGCTACTAGCCGCCGCGATAATAACGACGACGACGACGATAATAATAAGCGTAGGTCCTCGCTGCCCTCCTCTATAAGCCCCTTTGCTTTTATTCTCCTAAGCGTTACTAACCCTTATATTAATATAAGAGTACTATAGCCTAAGGCGCTACCTATAAATCCCCTTATATATAGCGTGCCTTATAGTCCCTCCTTTATATTAACTAGGCTAGCCGCCCTTAAAGTAGCTACTTTTTATATACCTAGGCTAGCTATACTTATAAGGTTATACTGCCTATCCTTGCCTATACTACCGCGGCTTAGAGCGCCGCGGAGCTAAGTAAGAACTAAAATAAAGCTAAGCGCGCTTTAACCGCTACCGCCGCTACCTACCGTAACTTATAGTTCCTTAAGCGCGCTGCCTTTATACCTAAGTATATAAGCTCCCTTTCTTATACTTTCTATAGCGCTAACTCTCTTTCTCTTAGGGGCACTATTACCGCTACCTTAGCTGCCCTTGCTACCTCTACCGCCGCCGCCGCCTTTACTAGTACTACCGCTGCCGCCGTTGCTACTTAGCTAGGTAGCTTAAAGGGCCGGATCTATGCTTTTAAGGCTAGGGCCGCGCCCTATATTAAGGAGGAGGTTAAAGAAGAGGATAAGGAGGAAGATAAAGATAACTATTTAATAGTTAAGACCTTATTAAAAAAGAAGGCTTACTAAGCTTAGTTTATACGCCCTTAAGTATACTTATAAAGGCTAATATAATTTCTTTATACTATTATTAACCTAAGTATACCTTACTTACTATTTATAGTTATAGTATTTATAATATATACTTATAGCTTATATTAATATAGTAACTACTATAGTCTTAGTACCTTACTAGTTACTTAAGGGTAGGGTATAGTTTCTTTTATACTTTAAGGTACTAGCTACTTTACTATTAAAGGGGTAGCTTTTCTTACTAAGTAGTTTTTTTATTAGCTTATAAAATGCTATAAACCTATTTAAAGCTACCGCGCCGTTAAACTTAAAAGCTAGCTTTTATATTAAGTCTTAGTAGCTATACTATTTAATAAGGGCTTTATACTTCTTACTATAGCCTATATTCTTTTAATAAGCTACTTATACCTTCTTTACTAAGAACTCCTTCTTTCTTTTAATAAGGATAGCGGCTAGTTAAGGGTCTACTATCTCTTAGCTTAGTAAAGGGTTTATAGTAGCGTAATAAAAAACGTTAATATTAATTATACTATAGATATTAAAGGGTAGCCTTTTTAGCTTTATAGTCTATAAACTTAGTACCCTCTTTACTATATACTTAGTATATAGCTAGTTAAGCTTATTCTTTAGCTTTATTAACTAATAGTTATAAAGGTTTAGCTAAACCTTATCCCTTACTATAAACCTATTTATAAGATCTTATAACTTATTAGCTTACCGCTCTTAGTCCTAAGTAATAAACGCTATTAAAGATTAATAGAACTTTATAACTTACTATAGCTTTTATATAAAGGTAAACGCCCTACTTTTTAAGGAGCTAGTAAAGTAGCGCTCTATACTTATATTTTATTACGACTACGGTTAGCGGGCTATAGGAGAGCTAGCTAAGTTTACGTAATAAGGCGGCTCGGAATAATAGTCGGGACGAGAAGTTACTTAAGCTTAGCTTACCTAGAGCATACGTAAGCTAAGTAAGCTTTATATAGATAGATTACTACTTAGGAGTATAGCTTACGAGTAAGCTATAGTAAGCTATAAAGGGGATTATAGCTAGGACCGTAATCTAAGGATAGTCTCTATAAGTATATATAGCTACCTACTTTTACTCCTTTAGATAAATAGCTCTCTAGCTTTTAATATAGATCTTTATTATAATTCTATCTTTAATTCTAATTACTTAGTTATAGTCTACGGTCTATAACCTCTAACTTATTACTAACGTAATATATATATTATTACTTAGACCACGCCCTATTATATCTACTAATATAAACCCCTTAATAGGTTTATCCCTTAAAAATAATACTAGTTATTATACGTTAAAAGCTCTTATTTAGTATAATACTACGTTACTCTAAGTAATATTATAACTATTACTATACCTATATAGTAAGCTAGATTAACTAACTCTAAAGCTACTATATTGCCTTAGGATATAACACGTAAGATTATTACCCTTTAATATAAGGTATAGTTACTTAGGAATAAAGGAGGTAATAGATAAGTTAGGGACCTTAAAGAAGTAGTTAAACTAAAATAGCTAGGACTATTCGATAGTACTTATAGTACGCTTTAAGACTTTCTTACTTAACTTAAGGCTTACTACTAGTTTTACCTTACTAAACTCTTAGACCTAGTTAAAAAAGTACTTTATATAGGAAATTATTTATCTAGAATAGTATTTACTTAGTTTAGACCTATTATAAGGGATTTTCTCGATAACTAACTAGCGCGATAAGATAATAAGATAAATAAAGTCTTTATTAGTTTCTAAGGATTTAAAGAAGCTATTATATAGGTATTTAGAATAACTAATAAGGAATAAAAAGCTAAATAAAAACTTTAAGAACTTTAATAAAGGATCTTAATATTAGATTATACTATAAAGTTCTATTAAGTTACCTTAAAGCTTAATTAAAACGACGAACCTCTTATATTACGATTCTATAATAGGCTTAAAGAAGAAGTTAAGGACGAGCTTTATAAGGAAAATTAACTTAATAACCTCTTAAACTATATTACTATAATAGTATAAATTAACGATAAATAGTATATATAACGCTAAGAAAAGAAATAAGGAAGAGAAAACTAAAACCCTTTTTATAGGAATAACTTTAACTAATACGCTAACTATAAAAAAAAGCATAAAACTCTTATTACCTACGCCTATATAACTAACCTAGGTAAGATAGATCTAAATATAATATAGAAAAGTAAAGGAAAGTATTTTAACTATAGGAAACTTAGATATTACTTTAAAGAATATAGATAACCTTATAAGGAGAAGAAAACCTACTAGGTACTAGCCTTAGAAGGTAAGAAATACTTAAACGCTACTAATAGATAGGAACTAAAGTATAAACTCCTTAATTAAACTATATACTATAATAATAAATATATAGTATATTTAAGTAATAAGAATAGTACTAGATAGTTCTTAAAGCTATTAAAGGAAACCCTTATAATAATATAATAAAGGGATCTTAAAATATAAAAATAAGTTAAATTTATAAAACTAAAATACCCTTATCTTAAAGGAATCTCTTAAGACTAGATTAGGAAGAACGGTAAATAATTCTAAAAAGATATATAAAATAAAAATCGATAATAATAATAAGTAGTTTATAAATAATATAATAAAGAAGATATAAATATAGCTCTTATACTTACGAAACTTAGATAATAACTTAAAAAGGAATAATAAAGTATCGATAATATAAGCTTTAAAGAATAAGAAATACTTAGAGAAATAAAAGATAAGACCGAACTTAAACTATTACCCTTACTACTAA